CTCTTTGGTATCTGCAAGCCTACCATCCTGGGTTTGAAATGGGTGCCACAATGGCGCTATCCAGTAGGTTTGAAACCTCAACCCTTGTTCAAGCGACTGACCAGAAGTTTTGAATTAGTGGGAGCGGGTATTGGTACTTCTCTAATTCTGGAAACGGCGCTCCTCCATTTTGGGCGGGACAAATTGCCCGTATCAGCGTCGATCAGGACAGCGGCGGGGATGAGTTTCATTTCAATGGTAGCCATGGAACTGGTCGAAAACCTGATAGACTACAATCTCACCGGTGGAATTGTGGCACTACATGATCTGAGATTTTGGACAGCCGCAGTCTTGTCCGCCATCGGGGGATTTCTCGCGCCGTTGCCTTATAACTACTTCAAATTGCGAAGATTTGGCAAGTCATGCCACTGAATCAGTTATGGAAGCGTTGTTCGACGGGGTGGTGTCGATTTTAGATCAGCAATGTACATTGATCTCAGGCTTGTAGGGGATACATAGTACCTGACACACCTTAGTACTACCCTATATGTTTTAACAGTCTAGAACTTGACAACATTTTTGTGGCTATTGGTCTATAATTCAACTCGTTGCTATCCTACCATCAACGTCTCTTAACTTCTCTACAGAACCTGCATACCGCCGAGCTTTATATCAATCTTCCTAAACCTCTCTCTCTCCTTGCGATCTATAATCAAACACATGGTAGCCAACATTAGGAGTACGTCGACGGCGCAAAATCCAAAAACGGTAGTAAAAACGACGTCCAAGAACTCATTAGCAAAATTTCCGAACGGAACTCTGCAAGGGCCAAGTTGTGCAGGGCATGTTTGGTCTCGGATAAAAAGACTAGGATTCGTGTAACCGCAGCATTTGAATCTGTGTTGGAGTAGAGACTGGCTAAAGTCTTCTTGACTGTTCCAGACCAGCCCAAAGGTTCTGTGCGTTTCAAGAGTGTCGTACCAAGTACGCAAGCCAATTCCGAGGGTGATGGATGTGGTTATCACAATGCCCCACGAGTGGAGGACCAGCCACCGGCGGTTGGTCCTCATGAATATAGCGGGGACGGATGTGAGGATGACAACGAACATAAAGATCGCGTT